TGATCTCAGGTTGCATTATAAGAGAACAGTAGGATGTTGGAATAGACTGTAAGTTTCCTTTGTTGAATATTTAGGTCAGATGGTATTAAGGGTGGATAGGGGTGAGGTTATGAGGTGGTGGTTGGGTAGCAAGATGGGAAGATGTGTAAATCTGGTGCAGCAATAGTTGCTGCAAGTACCTGTGAGCCCAATAGGGAGTGATTTTTGGATTTATATTTGAGAGAAGTGGTCACGAGGCAGAATAGTCTGCAGTAGTATATTTTAGATAGTTTATTTTATGGGATACGGGGGAGACTAGTTATATGCCAGTATTGGCAGTACTAGTATAAATAAAATTAGGCTAAATTCTAAGTACTTTTCCTAGTTATTACTTATGTATTTACGAATATAGCAAAACATCTTTATATTCTTTACTATTATCACATTTTTTATTATTATTATGATGAGAAGCCTTTACGAAAGGCAAAGTTAGAGAAAGCTTACAATAGGCATTATAAATAGAAGATATCAGTCTTGTACTATCAGTAACATAGACATTGGCCTAAGAGAGATCATATAGCAGATAAAGAAGAAAATTATTATTTCCCATCACTAAAAACTAACTATCCGAAGGGAGATTGTTACAAACTCTCTCTTTAAATACTTTATAAATAATATCCTCATTATTCATCAGGCTACTATCAGAATCCAAGTCTATTGAGTCCGGAAACTTTTCCAATAACTGAGAATATGAAAGGCTAGCAGAATTGACTAGTACATAGTAAGCTACTTCAGCTTTCTCTACATAGAATTGAATAAATGCTATACAAGTAAACTATCCTAAAGGACATACTCCAAGAAAATAACCCGCTAGGAGGTCATATAGTGGAGACTCCTTATGTCAATACTTAGAACTATCTTTAGACAATCATTATCTTGTAAGTTTTTATAATCTTGAAAACAAAATTCAACAAAATAGAAAAAAAACTTACTTCCAAATAGGTTTTGTTCACACCCCTGAAGAGGCTATTGGTGTTAGGAACACCAAGATTTAATACCTAAGAACCACCCTAAGTAGGGGAATCCAGATCTGAATTGGAATCTCTGGTCTCCAATACCCACCTCTGTCCCCCTAATAGGGCCCACACATCATCACACATATCTGTCTCAGTTTAGCTCAATTGGAATATCACATAATTCCTCTCTGGATATCACGTGTTCAACTCCTATTATTGACAAAGTTATTTCTGGTATTGAGTGATTTTCTACCAATACTACTTGCAACTGCAAGGTATCCTGCATGACAACCAAAGATTTCCGATGGGGGTGTTAAGATCCTATCCTGTCAAAGTGCTTCTACTCTACACAAGTAAAGTTACTGGGTAGAAATCTATTGCCAATTCCTATCCTAAAGCCAGTCTCATTGAAATTGTATCTCTCTTCAACTTGAATTACTTTTTACTTGCAGATTTCCTTATATTTTGTAAACCAAGTAAGTAATTCCTTCAAGTAGTGTGCGTTTATTCAATTTTCAATCTAGCGTTCTCTGCTTTCATATAAAAAATTCTGGATGTCTTTCAAGGAATCACCCAGTTCAGTAAGGGTCAACTCTAGTGGGCACTTCTTGAGGACTTTGTTGAATTAAAGCACATTTATACTTTTTCTTCAAAATCCTGTTTGTACAACCTGTGACCATTGGAACTCTTACAGAGGTCCCAATAGTATCAAGTTGTTTTAGGTAAAGGCAGATGGCTAACTTCTTGGCCTTGGAAAGATGTCAATTTGTGACACAGCATAGGGATTTTAATTTGCATCCCTTGATACAGGCATACAATCTTGCTTTCAGGACTTGAAAATCACAGGCCAATATAGCAACATTAGGCTTTTCGGTTTTGAAATACCTTTTACAAGCATCTTGGATTCTTGCATCAACATCAACATATCTCTCTAGAATTCGGGAACCTATTCTGGTGGATAAATTGGCTTTGAAATTAGTTGTATAGGAGAATGTCATATTGAGCGGATATGTTATGTTGAGCTGATAGGCACGCCATAGGCATGCTGCCTATTTGAAACTGCTTGCTGTTACACAATCATCACAGAAATCTTAGCACTATTATAGTTTTTGTTAGATATCATACTTACTCTAAGCTCAATTGTATGACTTTTATTTTTCTTTTTCTTTCACATACCTGTAGCATATTTGCTGAACATATATATTTATTTTTTTCTCTGAATATTTTTATTAGTATAATATTATTATATGCTATTTTCAACTTTTATTGTAATATATTTTTGTTGGTACAATCATGTCTGAAAAGTCTATATACCCCAACATGGCAACACTGCAACCAACGATCACCTCAACATTCCTCCCTACGATGGCACTACCACACTCCCAAACCCTCAGAAAAGACCAGAAAAGGGAAATCTATGCCCTCTATAAACGTACTGATATGGGGTATGATAAAACTTCAAAGCTTATGAACTTCTCCAAGTCAACTGTTTCAACAGTAGTCAAAAATGTGAAATCCAGAGATGGAAACATCCCTGATACCCCCAAATCTGGCAGACCAACCAAGATTACTGATGCTAAAAGGCAAGTAATTCTTGATATTATTGATACTGAGCCTTATTTAGCTCTAAGAGATATTACTCAAAAAGCCAATATTGGACTTGGTAAAGATACTGTTGGCAAAATTTCCAAAGAAGCTAGATTTAAGCTCAGGATATCTAGGAAAAAGCCTTTTTGGTAAAAAGAGCAGAAGGAGAAGAGAAAGGAGTTTGCTAGAGTGAGGAGGAACTAGATAAGAGTTTGGAAATGGGTGGTTTTTGTGGATAAGGCCACAATTGAATATGATCCAAATCCTGTGGGAAGAAAGGTCAGACTTAAACCAGGTAAAGAGTTGGAAGAAAAGAACTTAAAGCCTAGCTTTAAGTCAGGGCGTACCAACATAGATGTATATGCTGCAATAATGCATGGAGGAAGAACTGGGCTCATTCTTGTAAGGAAGAGGACTGAGGAGGAAAGAACCAGTAAAAGAGACAGACTTGATCTCAATTCCCACCAATATGCAACTGAGATTCACCAACCCTACCTCATCCTTTTCATAGAAGCCATAGACAGAGCTCCTCAAACTATCTATATGGCTGCTGATAATGCATCATGGCATAATGGAGCAGAAAACAAAAAATTGCAAGAGGACTGTAGAGATCAAAGATTGGCTTGGCCTCCCAACTCACCAGATCTCAATCCTATTGAGAATACCTAGGCAATTCTCAAAAGAGCACTCAGAAAGTGATTCTCCAAGGTTGAGAGAAGGCCCATAGTGCTGCTGAATTATTTCAGGCAGCAAAGGAAGAGTGGGACCTCATTCCCCAAGAGACATTTGATGAATAGATTCAGAGAATGCCTGAGAAACTTCAGGCTGTATTAGATGCAGATGGAAGCCATACAAAATGGTAGCATTGGGAAACTGTTTTTTTTTTCTATTTCTACTATTATCTATTTTAAAATTGTACTCATATTTTTTTTTTTGTTGTGGTCAATATTATTGTTTGTAGTGGTAGTGCCATTGCCGTGAGGGGTACATAGACTTTTCAGACACGACTGTACATGCAGAACGGAGCCTCTTCTATATGCCACTCTTCCTTTTTGCTAAACTATATTCTTATTCCAGCTATTTCCCGCACACATATATTTTTACTAAGTATACCTCTATGAGCCGATATTTTGCCCGAGCTCTTTTCTGATATTTATGATCTGCTACATATGAATTTCCAAGTATTATTATTATTATTATTATTATTATTATTATTATTATTATTATTATTATTATTATTATTATTATTATGCAAGTCTCATTCAACGAAAGTGTTTGTATGTTAGTCGATTCAATTTGATTATATCTTGTAAGCTCTCAGGCTCTTTGCTTTAACTTGATGTCATATCGGATCACTCAGTGCAATATCACCTCTCTTTAAAATATCCAGCAACCCCTCGCTTCTTTCCTGACAATCTTATTTCCCGATCTCTTGGATCCCTGTTTTGCCACCCTTAGTTTCCGATTTTTATGGACACATCCGACCTGCATGCTCTCTGGTCTTCTTGTTTCTACTTTACTGATAGATCTCACCCGCCTCTGAAGATCGCATGTAATCTAAAAAAACATTCAGGTCTGCTTTTCGGACTAACTTCATGCTTGTTTTCCTCAATAGAATGTAAGTGCTGCGAACCCCCCCGTACCTCTTCACGAAGCTAACCAATTCCTGGCTGCTCTTCCCAGTTTGTGCGCGAACCTCCATCCCCACCGCTTCAAATTATAATCGATACTTACTTCGTATTGCGTCGCTGCTAGTTAGTCATTTTCTTCTCTCTCTACCTGCTTCTCCCACTAACGCATGGCGTGCCTCACAACGATGCGCGCGACATGGATACGGTAGTAAGACTCTAATCTTCTTACTACTCGTCCTAGCCCTCTCAGTACAGATCTCTTAGCCTTTCTTATGGCCGGTGAGTTCTTCCGGTTCACTATCCCTATTCTTATTATTGTAGGTTATTATCGACCTAGCAGTAGTTTTGCACTGGACACGCCATACCGGTACCCGGACTTGCCAAACTGGCGTGCGAGGACGGCGCATCGCCCCTGGCTGGTGCTTGTGTTTCTTGTGCTAAAGGGTCCGTCTCGCAATCCTTCGGTATCCCGTCCTGTTTTATCTTTTAGCGAATATTTAAACGCCCTACTACTAGTAACTGTGTGAGAGCCTACAGACTAAAGTGGATAATTGCTTGAAGGTCCGTCGCTCATTCAGTGGACCTAGGCTTGAGGCGACCAACTTCCACCATGTTTGACGATTGATATGAGTATTCAATTGTAAAAGCTCCGGCTCGAGAAAGAAGGAAAAGTCTATTTTGTAACATATGATACCATGCAAGTACCCGAGTGCGATGTCTGGCTAATAATACATGTGAGAAATCGAAACGCCACTCGTGATAAAAAACAGTCACCACTAAAATACAACTACAGGGCCTTAACTGATTGGAAGAATGGATCATTATCCAAAGCTTCCTTGTGCTCCGGTGCTTGGATCAATTTTATGAGTTCACCCCTCATTTGAGCGGGGGTCATCCCCGAGTCCTCCACCTTGTTTTTCCACTCGACCAATACCTTTTTTAGCAGAGCCGACCCCTCTGCAATCTGCTCTCTGGTACAGTTGGATGCCTTCTGTTCGTGTTTGCCGGTAAAGTCTTCGAGTTCGTCTGCTTTACGCTTGGCCATGTTGATTACCTTTTGTGGGAAGCGAACAAGTTCCGCGACATGAATACCGAAGCTCTGGTCGGAAACGCCTATAACCGCACACTGTTAGAACATCCTTTGACTGGTCACGGGGGATATCCTCGCAAACCTTCGTCGACTTTATAAAGCAAAGTCACCTCCCTCGCGTCCTTGTCCCCAACATGTGCAATGACGTGCAAGTTCTTTACGGAGGGGTATTCGTCGACTAGCGCCGTCAATTCGTGAAAATGAGTTGCGAACATCGCAAAACACCTAATTTCCTTGACAATGTGTTCTGAGATAGCCCAAGCAAGCCCGAACCCATCATAGGTACTGGTACCTCGCCCAAGCTCATCGATGATAATCAGGGACTCGGAAGTAGCCGACTTGAGGATAGTCGAGGTCTCCAACATCTCGGCCATGAATGTGGACACACCCTTCATTTGCGAGTCGCTGGCTCCGACGCGAGCAAGTATACAATCGAAAATCGTCAATTCCGCCTCGGAGCATGGAACGAAGCATCCAACCTGGGCCATTAGAGCGATGACGCCAATCTGCCGGATGTAAGTGGATTTACCACCCATGTTGGGACCTGTGATTATCAAAAACTCCGAGCTGCCTCTGCATAAGCTGACATCGTTCGTGATGAATTGAATGTCGTCCTGCATTTCCATGCATGGATGTCGGGCTTCCTTCAAAATAGTGTTTCCCTCTCCTCTTGCATGCATCTTCGGCTTGACATACGGTGATGGAGCATGAACCGAAACGTGAGCGAAACTAACAATAACGTCTAGATGGGCTAGCACGGCGGCCAATTCTTCCAGAACTGGGCAATAGGAGGCTATAAGGTATTAGTACTCAGGGGAGATGGAATACACCGACCCCACGGAAACTCACATGCTACGGTGACAACTTCATCCACTAGTCCGCTCTGTGTCTTGTTATATATGTACGTTGACTTATCAAAATCCCGCTTCAGATCCTGCATGACAGTGGTCGTAAAGAAAACACCATTCTTCATGGTTGATATTTCTCTATATTCCTTCTGATTCCTTATTGAACCTGCCTCGGCACGGGTCAAACGGAAACACCACCCATATGTCTTATGGTTCTCCATGAAAAGCTTCTTGTCAACCTCCTGGCCCAGATCGCTTCCGACTCTGTGGTGCTCGGTGTCCATTGCCCTCTTCAGTTTATCCAGCTTATCCCGAACCAATTTAAGATCATCGCTAAATTCTGGCTTGATAATGAATTCGTGATTATCAAGAGCATCAAGGTCCACAGTGGTTTCGACCAGCTCTTGTAGCTTTTCCAAGTTGCCATATATTTCCTAAAGGCCATGTTAGCAGAGGCACCTAGCCTTTTGGAGGAAAGTTCTACCCGTAGTTTGGTTGTGTATCGCAGATCAAGCGGGTCTTTATACGTCTCATCCATCACACCTTCAAAGGTTGAAATGAACCCCGGGATTCTGATGGCAACTTGGTATGCTCTGACAACATCTTCCAAGTTTGCCAAGTTTTTTTGGAATCGTTTAGAGAGCCGGTAAAGATCTGGTATGCTCTTTAAGTGCTCCTCCTGCATCGTCTGCCGGAGTTCAGTGTCCTCAACGAACGCTTCCACCAAAAATTGCCGTTTTTTGATTTCTTCAAGACTCATTAACGGTTGCTTAAGCCATTGGCCCAGCAGCCGGGTCCCTATGGCGGTCTTACACTTATTAAGAAGGCCGTATAGCGACATATTCTTTGAACCATCTCGGGGTCCAGGCATCAAGTTAAGCGCTTTAACTGCTGATGCATCCAACTTCATATACTGGGCAAGATCGTGTTGGTAAAGACGGTATTGGCCAAAGTTAAGATCGTCGCTCATAAGCTGTAGATATCGTATCAAGGCGGAAGCAGCTGCCATGGCAAGCTTGTTTTCCACCTGTGGTAAGACACCGGCAGCAATTTCACTTGTAAGAAGTCGGGAGAGGTCTTGCTCGATGTCTTTGACCGAAAACTCGGAAGCCTTCCGAAAGGTCATAACTATCCCACAGCGCTCGATAATTCCTCGAAGTTTTCCCAGTTCATAATCCTTGTTCTGCTCATCCGATTGAACAACGCACTCTTTGACACCAAGTTGGATGATGAGAGACTAAGCTAAAGGTTAGCTACAGCGGAATCCTCGGTTAACAGCTCCTAGAGATCACTTACTTCGAAATTGGAGTATAGGTCGTTATCGGCAAACTCGCTCACGCCCAGCTCCCGAACACTGGCATCTGCAAAACAAACACCAACATTCCGCTCCTCTCCCTTGACTGATATCCTCACAGCAAGGATAATGGGAGATGAATCGATCTGGCCGGCGAAATCATCCTCAACATCTTGAAGATTTCCAGGAGAAGCCTTCTTCGTAATGCCCCACTTATTCCTCAATTTTGCTCCCCATATTTCCACCCGCTTTCTATTCTGGAAGAGGCATTCGCGAAGGAAATTGCGGTAGGCGGTAACGGATAGAGTACATGACTCAAGGGGGTTCCTCGAGCTGCCCAATTGTCGGATGACGGATGTAGTTTTATAGATCTATGAGGGGAGCAATCAGCACCGGAAGCACGAAGGGCGGCTCAGATTAAAACTCTACCGTCTGAGCAACATATATAGCATCCTGCCCGTGGGCAGTGTAGTAGTCGTTTCTGTCGAAGAGTCGAATGGCATCCGTCTCGGGAAGACTGTTGAAAAAGGAAATAAAGGCACTCTCATCCTCAACCTAGAATAGCGATTAATTGGGGGCAAAACACAATAAAAGGAGCCCAAATGGCGAGCATGTATACCTTAAGCTCAGGGCGAGATCCCATTGCACAAATACTCAGCAACCGGTATCGGGCTTAGAGAATTCGAGATGGAATGTGGGAGCGATAAAACTTGAGTTGGGATGAAAAAGGTGGATCAATAAGGGAGACGCGCTCAAGGTGTGACGACAATACGGTAGTCTATCTAGAGCTATGGCTTTCACACCTGGTCACCTTGCCCAGTGAGACGCGTCGAGAACTTGGAAATGGGGTCTTGGCACATGTTTCTCCAGCACGGGATGCCATGCGGCTGGCACTTTGGCTTAATTAGGCGAAAACTGTGACCAGGAGCTCACTGGTACGCCAAGACTAAAAGGCTCCATCCAGAAGCACCGGTATTGGGGAGGTTAACTGTACGGTACTAGTACAAAACTAATTTTTTAATATCCGGACACCTTGGCGCCAAGCCTCATACAAATTCGCGCCAAGGCGTCCGAATACTTTTGAAATCGGCCAGTACCCCAGGGACGCTCCACTTCTGTCCTTTGATAGATATGCATACTGGCACAGTATCATAGATTCATCATATTTCCCTGAGAAGGATGGGGTGCGTGTGTCTGGAGCTGCAGTACCGGTACTGTAGTCTGTGGTGGTATTGTGATGTTGCTGACCCGGCATCTCTTGGGCGGGCCAGCCAGACCGCGAGTGCTCAAACTCGAGCACAGTGCACAGATAGACAGTAGGGCACTACCGGTAAGTCACCACCGTGTGGTATGTACATATCATAATACCAGAAAAGGTCAGCACAAGTACAATACTCACATAATAGCATTTCGGCACCAGTTGGTTCATATATCCAGGACCAGCCGAAAGATTATGCGGCGGTCGAATCGAACGGGCACTTGTCACCTACTCTACTGTACTACCAGTAGTAGTACGAGTACTATCGTAGGACATCTGATGACCTGGTTATCGTGATTCATGGGTGGAAAGCTCAGGCACTTTATCGCAGCCCCAATTATCGGTTCCAGCTACAGAATGATAGATCACATTTGCTGGCGCTTATAGTGAATATCTGCCTGCCACGAGTTACAGCTGTTATATGAGTTACACCAGAGGCCAGCAAACTATGATACCGGTACGCGTAGATGGGGCTCAAAAGATTGGCGCAGCACGGGTAGCCCCTCTTCAGTTACAGAAGCTACGGAGGTACAGCGCCTAAGTTTTGTATGTTACACTCGCAGTGGGCATTTTGTTAGCAACCGGTGTAACATACAAAACTTAGGAGCTGTACCTCCGTAAGTACCGTACATTATGCTTTCGTTTTGGTGGTATGGCTTTGCCCATAGAGGCGTTATTGTACTCGTAGTGATGACCCCTCCATATTGTCTCATCCACAGAGTCATGTGTACTCGAGTACAAGTACTCGTAACTTACCTATCATCACGTTCAGCCTTGTCAGAATTCTTCTTTTTTCGGGCAAAATACCGGTAATGGTATGTAGAGCGATTTCAATCTATGTTGGAGGCATAATTTACATAGTAGGCATTCCATCCCGGCTTCGTTCAGCGTGCGCTACTTTATTGGATCGGGATGCTGGTCATCGGCTCTTCCCATTTTCTGACTGTGGACACACCAGTCACTCGATCTTGGCAATTAAAGAGGTTCGGGGTTTGGATCCTTTGGAAGTTTGTGCCCTGATGCCAAGACACTAGTGAAGGGGACAAGGGGTTGGGGTTGACGACTAACTATCCTACCGCCAGATATCTATCAGAGCTCTTAGGCTCTTCCCACCCCCCCAAATCTTCGTCACTCTCTCCGCAGCCCCGCTCCCTAGATTCCCCCCTTCTTCGCTTGAGAGAAATCATCGTCAAAAATCCGCCATGGAAAACACACCTCTTACCCCTTCCTCCTCCGCCCCAACACCCACTGCAACACCTCCAGGAACCGCCTCGAACACAGGTTCCGAGGCAGAGAATCAATCAAAATTAAGGTATGTGGTTCTCTACTGATTCGCCCCTTAGGCCACCAGCTAATCATCAATTTTCTTGGGCCTAGGACTCTGCTTGGTATTTTGCGACGTTTCGTCGGAGTGGCCGACATTGCCTCTGTCCGCTTTTCACTTCCGAGTCAGTTGCTTGAACCCGTACCCAACTTAGGTGAGAAAAAGATTATTGGGTTACTTAGTGAGTGGGTGAGCGCTACATACTGAATTGCTGAAAAAGAATATTGGAATTACTTGGATCGTCCTGAAACTTTTGCTAGGTGAATGATGGAAAATACTCCTATCACTTCTATACTAATATTGTTTAGCATTGGCGAATCCGACGATGAACTGGAACGTTTCCTGGGAGTTTTAAGGTTTTGGTTTACCAAAGATCTGGTCAGATAATGAAGATAACCGTGGTGTGGGTAAAAGCTAACCTGGACCCATTTTTGAAGAAATTCGTCAAGGGAAAGCCATGCAAAGTAAGAAATTTACAGATAACCTTGTATAGCTAAATACACCGCGCTCCGGTGCAGTTGCTGACCTTTCCCTCTGCAGCCCTATAATTCAACATTAGGGGAATTTTTCAGAGCACGTTCCCCATTGCGAACTCAACTAGGAATCCACAGGCTAACTTAGCTATTCGTTGGGTGGAGCAGTGCACTTGGGATGTCCAGGAGACACTACCACCGGTTCCCTCCCGCCCCTCTTCCCGAAACTCTCGGAATTCTGCGGCGAGCAAGCCTTCCCAGGCCGGTAGCAAAGGGCCTGTTCGTGTCTCGTTTTTGACGGAACAGACTTCCCATCATCCACCTGTCTCAGCCTTCTACATCGACTGCCCGGAAAAGGGTGTATCAGCGAACGGATATGATCAGGTATGGATTTGGAAACACTCGAGGGGAATCTATGATCAGTGCTCACCGAAAGCGCCATTTTAGATTAGCGCTAAGTTTACGGGGACTTCCAGTATGTGAAATACAATTCCACACACTTATATTCCCGGTAGTCAGTATGCTGACCTCGTAAAGTTAGGGTAACTCCTGGGGTGCATAACCTCGGCATTTTCATCAACTTGCACAAGCGTGGGGATGAATCCTACCGACTCACCCACCCCGCTGTGAACCTTGGAGGATTCTTGAGAGGTACGTATAGCATAGGCGGCCAGTAGTATGTTTATTCACGGCTGTATCTCTCAGGGACTCTAAACCTATATGTCGAGGACATCTGCTACGTAACTTGTCCCAAAACACAATTGAAGGCTATTCTGCAGTATTTGGGCGATTCCTGGATCGGGAAGGCAAAGTATAAGGTCGAGGGAGTCGTCTATCAGTATACTCACGAGGACGATGGTATACAGAAGATTAAGGATGTTCCCTCAAAGCTTGTGCGTGCCAAAATCGAGGGATCATGGATGAGTCAATTGTATTACACAGTGCCAGGTTCCAGCGTAAGCCTCCCCCCTATTTAGAGGCTCTTCTAGTGGTCATTGTTCTTACTCTGAATGAATCCGCAGGAAAAGCACCTATTGATAGACTTGGATCCTCTTTTTCCTGAACCAAAGACTTGCCCACCACCAAACGCTATGCTTCCAAACGAGTCTCGGAAGATGTGGGAAGGCGTCACTGAAGCTATTCATGCCAGAGACTACAGCCGCGCCACACAGCTCAAATCGGAGATCGAGGAAAGGCAGCGCGAGAAGGCAGCTGCCAGAGCAGCGGAAGGTGTCGAATGGAAACCAAGGTTCTTCGAGGCCCCAGCCTTAGCCGCTGGGAGACCTAGGTTGAGCGTAGATGGGGAGAAGGCGTTGAAGGGCTTGCATACTGACGATTACAAACTGGAGCCAGCAGCGGTTACCGGAGCCTGAAATTCCTGGGATTGGGACCGAGCGAGTAAAGTTTACATAAATATATGCCTGCTTTCCTGGAACTGTTCACGATAGCGGCGAAACGATAGCGACCAAAGCCAGGGAGCGAAACGACACGAGGATTTTTAGTTTGGTGTGGAATATAAACCGGTGTAAGCAAATCGGGGGGGCTTGATTGCAGCCTCTACCTATTCCCCCGTTCATGTATGATTTGCTTGGCGTTTTACACTTTTTTCCTTGCTTTTTTTTTGTTCGAGTCTTTCCTTCTGGTGGGCTGTCCTCGGTCCCCACGTTGTCTAAATCACTTCTAGAAATATCTGATTTTGGGGTGCGAGTATGTTGGAACGGAAGGAATAAAGGGAGATCCGGTACATTGGTTTGCTTTATCATTACCTATGACTTTAGAGGAGGAGTATTGTAGAGGGGGGGAAGAAGGCAGAAAGAAGTCCAGCAGGCGTGCTAATGGAAATGGCGCAATTGTTCAAGTACGATAGTAGAGAATTGGGTTCGCCTATCAAGCTACTCTGGCACCAGTACAAATAACTTTGTCCAACGATCGCTAAACGTTTGATACACACTATTAAACAAACCCATAAGGGAACTGGAAACCTGAACTTATCATTACAATACGATGAAGAGAGAAAAGAAAGGGAAATAGAAGATAGCTGTGATATAAAAAATAATAGAGCAGAACAAAACAAGACAACTCCGATTCACCAAACCCGGCTAATATGCATTCACGCACGCACGCACTCCAACGGGGGCCCAAAAATGCAGAACAAAAACTAAATATAGGCAATCTTAAGGCATAAACAAAACTCTACCATTTCCAATGCTTCCTTCCTCCCCTTTCGCAGAAGGGGCGGAGCCAAGTTACTACTACTATGAAGCAGCACTAAGCCCACTCCTCATATTCTCCACCATATTTTGCCCAATACCCTTTATCATCCCGAGTTCTTCTAGATCTTTGATAGCGGGAAAGTCATCATCATCGTCCATCATAACCGCCCGACGACGCTCTCTGACAACCTGGGCCAGTGCTTCTGCGCGCTTTTTACCAACGCCCTATAAAACCCCCAAATCGTCAGTATATGATATCCTGCGGGCCGAGTGATTGGGCATGATGTGGTGGCTGTGGCATACCTTCAACTTCATTATCTGCGAAACATCCTCCGAGTTGATTATCCTCAAGAGGTTCTTTGTCCGGGGCGTCTGGTGCGTGTTCAGTGACCATTCCTCTTCGCTTCTATCGTCTTCGTATTCTGAAGCGGTATCTTCCTCCATTTTGATAGCTGGTAGGGAGCGGGGAACTGGTTGCTGTTGTACATCGTTATTATTATCGGAGAAGACGGCGAAGGTTCGTTTGGGCTTTGATCTTGGCATCGGCGCTGGTGCTTGTGCAAATGTCTCTTCTGTTACGGAGACCCGGCGAATGGAGGAGTATGATGAGGGTTTCCCATTAGTAGTGTCAAGGGATGATGTGAGATCTGAGGAGCTTCTCATTGTGGTCCTAATTGTGGTGGTCTTTTTATCTTTGTCTTTTAAGTCGGAGATTTTCCTCAGGAGTTTGTCGTTTTCCGGGAAGTACGGAACGGCTAGTTCATACATTTTCAGGGCCGAGAAGTTTTCACCTCTTGCTGCATGCTGTTCTATTTGTTTATATCCGTTAGTTGGGGTGGGCTGGGAATATTAGGTATGGAGCTTACTGGCAAGCAGTATGTAGGTAAGGCCCTCTGCTTTGGCGTCTGCTTTTTTCTCGCTGCATATTTAGGTTAATGCTCAATCTTCTCTTCAAATAACATAGCTATCAACTTACAGTTTCTTTTCCAACAGCTCGAGCCTCTTATTCACTTCATCACTCACATCCGTAGCCGTCTTCTTAACCGGCTCGTTCAGCGCTCTAGCAGCTAATATTTCCTCCACCTTCTTCTCAACAATGTCCGCAATATTTGTAGGACTGAGCTGATGGTGCTTATCATAAGACCGCACAGGTTTTTTGATTCCGGAAGGTTGACGTAATGGCTGGGGTGCCAAAGGCGCCCGGTTTTGTGGCTTCGGTGCCTTGTCTTTCTGGAAGCCCTTTTGGGGGTTAGAGACATGCATAGTGTTTGTCTTTGCCGTCCCAAAAGCTCGTGTGGGTCCATGTTGGCTTAGCATTGGAGGGAGTTGGTCGTGCCGTGATGGGAAAGAAACTAGTGACTTTAGTATTTCCATTCGATACCTTGCGGTACGCGATCTATTACCTTGAGGGTGCTCATTCTCTGCCTGCTTCAACTCAACCTTTTTTGTCCGATTTGCAAAATTTAGAGAGCTTAGGGTATCGAGATGGAATGCTCTAGTTGGGGCAAGATTCAATATCATGACTGTGAGGCCGTTATTTTGTCCAAGTGACAATATACGAGTCATCTTTGACTCTCTATATGGTATCCTGCTCTGCGAAATTGTTAACATATCGCTATATATAGCGGGAAGTTGGATGTCAGACCTGTTTCTTAGTCATAGCCTCTACGCACTGAGCCAGCACAAATAATGACTTATTGATGCTAGCAGATTCTAATATATCGTTAGTGAGAAGCATCCAAACCCAGTCTCCGGTAGCAGAAGGGATATTCACCTGTCATTCTTTCTTTGTCATTGGACGTACGCCTGTTATCCTCACTACCAGCCAAATCAATACATGACACAGTCCCCGTCTTGTTTTCTCCTGTATTTTTGTCCTCAATCAAAACCTTGACACATATCACCGCGTGAGACCTAGAAGAGTGCGCGTTCAACTTGGTAGCAGACGTCGACCGGTTCGCATTGGCTTTATCGTACAAAGCTTCGAACTCCTTTAACGACTTGATCTCCTTATCGATTAAACCAACGACTTGAGTTTTTCCATTCGACTCTCGGAGGGGCAATCCAGCAGGGGTTCGCTTCTCGGGAGGCTGGAAGAGATCAAAAACTCGGTCCTAGTAGAACAGTATAAGCACTCTGCTGGAGAAATTATCTGCCAAGCTTCCCTACATTGTATATCTCGTAGTATGTCATGATTGCCCGGATCGTTGTCGCCCCTTCAGTTTTGCGCTCAAGCTCCTTTCCCCGACGATATATTGCAGTTAGGAAGCGTGGAATAATCCCACGCTCAGAAGCTGGCTTTTGTCCCCGCATGGTATACGTTTTCCCACTGCCAGTGGCACCGTACGCGAATATTGTTACATCGTTCCCTTTGAATAAATGTTTCAATGTTGGCGATACTGGTAGTTATCCCTCCTCTATCAGTGGTTGGGTTCCAAATAAACACCAACACTACCACCGCCATCACCAACTCACCTTCAGAAAAAAGCTGCGCTTGGTCCGAATCCTGACCGTAAGCAGCATTAAATGGAAATGTGAAATTCTCGTTCTCGTTCTTCGGGTTCGGCATGGAAATCGCGTCCTCTTCGGCAGATACCACAACATCCTTTTCACTCTCTCCCTTCAACAACGGACGGATCCGGGCAATGATACGGACATTGTTGACTGTCATCGCGCGGGGGGTTTCTTGGGATGAAAAGGCCCTTATTTTCTCTCTGTTTTGTTTTTCCCTCTCGAAATCGGGGCCGGGAAAGTTGTGGTGGCTAAGCAGTGGATTTGGGGGTGCCTGAAGTCTTGAGGGAGAGGAATGTATGACACGCAAGGAGATGCGCGAGTTGACGGGAATTGAGGCTCATGCAAGGCACCCAAACACCCCGTTGCCCCAGCAACAACACGGCTAGACCCTAGCCCTAAATATTATAAAAAACGGACTCGAGTGATACAGTAATATCATGAACAGATAACATGGGGTATCCCAAACAACTATGGTTGTGATCTACTGCAGGTCCCTTTTTTATTTACACAAAACCTCCATACCAATGTCAACGTCCATGAATATATGAATACGTGAACTTTTTTCGCATAAAACAACCACCTAGCCCTTAGTCTGCCGGATGGAAAAGAGAACACGAATAAAAATGTAGGAAAAGAATAGATACAACAACCCATTATTTTGAAACCGCAGCACTATAATGCAGATAGGGGTCAGTAACTCCCAAACATATAACGTCCCGGAGAACTAGATTCAAAGACTTACGTGAGCACTTGCGTTCTAAACAAACCTCCCTTAGTTTTCTCAATAACTTGCTGGTATACTGATTGTGGAGGATGGTTCATTATAACAGTCCCCTGTGGCGGTAGTTGGTGTGTTGGTGATATATTACATTGGAGAAAATGCACAGGGTTAGAGGGGGGGGGGGGTCAACTTACATCCTTGTAGTCGATCTTAGCATCTACTCTAGTATCGCGGATGAGGTTGACAATCCACTTCTCGCCCTCATCTTGGGTAAGATTCAAACGCTGAGCAAGATCTTTGATGTCGATCCGCTGGTGAATCTTGCAATAAGACTCAGAGATCAAATGTCTTGCCGAGTCGACAAATGAAGCGGCAGAAGACGCAAGAAAAAAGTCACTCCCCAGCACCTCCTCCGCCTCACTAAGCTTCCGCTGTGCCTCTTCGAAATCGAAGTCGATGTAGAGCGCTGCGACAAAATCGGTGATGGGGTCATGATATTCATACAACTCCTGCTTGACAATGCGGACAAGGTCCTTGAGCTGTTTCTGGTACTGGCCGCTATTGTTCTTACGGTTACGGTTGGTGATGACCGCCGCGGCCACATAGCGAAGGATCCATGGACAGGAGGTTTGGATTGTATTAATAAAAGCTGGGGAAAAGAACAGCTCCAATAGCACATCCTTCGGATCCTTGAGTTCCTTGGAATCCTTGGGGTCTTTGAATTCCCTGGCATCTGCGTAGTTTGTGTAATTAAAGAAAGGGAAAAGAGTCCAGTGAACTAGCCACGTGCGAGCTTGAAGCTGGCCTAGGGGGTTGTTGTAGAGCTAGGTGGTGTTAATTCTGATGTGTAATATTGATGGAGGGTGAATTGCCTTTTGCTCAATCAAGTCCTTAACTTTAGTAATCTCCTCCATGGAACCCTCCCAATTTGCCGAGAGAATGTCACAAGCTAGCTTTCCCCAGGTAGCTTGTGTAGTCTTTTCGTTGTCCGTCGACTATTCGAGTGTAAGCATTTCGAGCCCAAAAGCCGAACCAGAATGACAGAAACACACCAAGACACGAAACCGATATAAAATGTCCGAAGCCTCTCCATAATTACCACAGCTGTATTGGTGTTGGCCATAATCATAAAGCACGTTTACCATCTCTACTGTGACCTTTTTGGGAGAAAACACTCGAAATTAGCTTCTATTTCTCCGAAACATATTCAAGGTGTGAGAGTAGTGACGGTACATCATGTTTCTCTTGAAGATACTGCAAATTTTGCAGCTTGTCCGCTCTTAGGTTTGACAAAACCTCTGTGTTCCCAAGCAGATTCAAAAGTAGCTCACTCCTCTCACCCAAACCTTGCAGCTTTTCCACAACCTCCTGCCTCTTATTGAGCTCTTCCGGAACCTCGTCGGTGCCATGTATTTCCTTGTAAAGATCACATATGAAATCCGTCATGTTTGAGTTCTTTAGAAGGTCATATCTGGCCTGGGCCAATTCTTGATCCGTTAACCTGCCCTGCTCGCCCATGAATCCCAACAGTGGGAAAATCATATGTCTATCGAGGTGAGGCAGCAATTTGGGAATTAGATCATAGGACACTGCCATATCGTTGGCTCCCTCTGCGTTGTTTTCGGCCATAATGGCAATGCGGTACGGCCGTTGGTGTTCTTTGCTGATGTGGGGCGAGATATTGGCGATGGAGGGGTTGATTTTTTTGAGTAAAGGACTGCCTTTTTTTCCCTCTGGTTACCCAGTTGAACACAATGACCAAGCCAGGAATATCGGTGGCTAATCCATTACAAGTATCATTATTAACAGCTGTTAAAACCTTGTCAATGCCCCAAAACAGGAGCCCGAAAGGTTACAAAAATCACGTGCATATATATAAAAATTTAATGACAATAATAAAAGAAACATCGGTTTTGACGCAATTAACAAATATCTTTACTCGTATGACTTGTTCAGCCGCCTTATATTTTTTTGGTATGAAGAGCAAAGGGGCGTTTGCTGCGATCCTTTGTGTCTACTGGATTTCTTTCGTGAGACCTCTTTGGTGTTGGCAAAGTTATTCCGAACTCCCTGTGATGGCGGTCTCCGTGTCTGCGAGGTCAATCAATGTCAACCTTTTGTTTCAGTTGACCGTCGGATCGGGTAGCAAAGCTGCACAAAACACAGCGGCAGGAGGGCCACCGAAATCAACCCGGCGATCTCTTGATGAAGCCCCTCTGTCGGCCCGTGATCCAATGAGTATTAAATTGAAGGTTAAACTTACAGCGGAAAGATGTGTTCATTTCCAAGTGTTATCGGTGCAGAGGACATGGTTGAGGAAAATGAAGGAGTCGGAAGAAATACTTCCTATCATAGACTAAGTGCGACTCAGGCCATTAAATACTTGAACAACAGCACGATAACTTTTTCATAGTCTAAAACCTTAACGGGCCTTCCAAAATGTCTTTCTGTCATTAATACCCGTATGTACAAGACCGGGGATTATTAACCGGAAATACCAGGGATTTTATTTTGCTGGTTAACCTTAAATAACCGTTCAATAACTTTCTCTCTGACCCTTGTATCGTACCCCTGCAGATCCAGTTATTTGAGACGGCATTGCCCAGACGAGCTTGCCACCACTCGGAACCTCGCAACCACAGCAAAAGCACATTTTCTGCCGCCGTTCTCGACAGATAGGTACCGCAGCCCCGCCCGCCAGATACTCGATATCGTAATAATCCCGACCGGCCGGGACAATCGTCAAGAGGCGGTCAAGCACCCTCCGCAATTTGCGCCAATGATTCCTGCATCTGTTCCTCTACGGCTTCTCCGCTCAATGCCTGCGGCATTTCACCGAACGGCATCCTTCACCGCCAGTGCTTTTCGAAGGGAAGAGGATGCGTCTAATCCAGGCAAGCTAGCTACGCTTCCCAAGAACACGCTCTCTTCTGATGTTACCAACAACTAACTGCTATATAGTACAACGGAAAATCGAACCACTACCGTACTTCGTCCACCGGACCGAGAACAATAATTTTCCCGTCTATCAAGAATACAAGGCGGGAGGGAACAAACTTCAGACTCGCATACGGAGGGTTGAGGGTAATCTTCAATTTTTGAGGGATCAAATCGAGAGCGCTTTGCGGATGGAGAAGGGACAAGTGAAGATCAGTTCTCTCGCTGGGCACGTCATAGTAAAGGGCCGGAGGAGAGATGAGATCGTAAGGTTTCTGTCAGATCTTGGGTTTTGATGTGAGATTTCTACTTATCACTATCAAATATGTATATTGTGTGATGGTATTATTTGGCGTTCGTTTCTTTATGGCGAAAGAGGGACTCGACCAGCTTGTAAGTGTACAAAATAGAACAAAGAAGGGGCATGAAAGACCTCCCAGAAAACCGCTGAACAACCAAGAAAAAAGGGACGCCAAAGCTCACTGAGGATAAAATACAGGATAAAAGGTAATAGCAAAGTGGTAAAGGGGAATTTCAACAACGAAAGAAGAAAAGAGATGCGGACCCAGCCTTTGTACAAACGCAAACCTACATCCAACAACCCTAGACGACTGGTATATCGCAGACATTTAGCCTTCAACCATTTAACCCGGCATAAGTACAAAGCTTTTTGACAATAACTCCATCTATCTGAACCGTCAACAATGCTCCCAAAAGACTCTCCTTCTTCGGTAAAACTCCAAGAGGTATTTTCGAATGATCACCAGCTGCATCTCCAGATTTTTCCGCCAGCTTTTGTAAGACACCCATGCCCCGATGCGTGATTCTCGCAAAGGGTTGCGAATCATCGAGATTAGGCATCTTTCCAGTTTGGCCCGACTGACGGGGGTGCATTGGGGTCACTTGAGGACTCAGCAAGCAGACGAGTCGCAGTAGGCTGAGCGCAAATCCATCCTCGGAGGATAACCAGGAGCGGGCTACGCCTTGATCGGGGCCAGGTGCAATTCCAGCAAGAATCTCAGCAGCAAGCATTCCTTGTTCTAAGAAAGGTTTCCGTGCCTCTACGGCTTGGGGAAGCGCGACCTTCATGTTATCAGGAATTGGAGATATTGCCAGGGCGAATGATCGAGTGAGAAGATCGTAGGAAGGTGTTGTCGAGGACTCCGAAAGGAATATTGTACGATAAAAGGCACGATTGGGCTCATCCCGAGCAAGCAACTTAGCCAAACTGTCTACTGCGGGGGGCAGATAGCGATGGATCGAAGGAGAGTAGGAGGTAAACATCAGGGTATCTCGCCCCGATGCTGCTGGTAGGGGTTGAGGGGCGAAGGCCAATATCAAATGCAACAGATTAAGCGCCTCATCTTCACTTGGCAATGTGATTGAGTGCGAAAGGTTCGACAGAAAGATGATGATGTCCTTCATGAAATCCAAGGTGTTGGTATTTGTCCTCAACAATAGCTTACTGGTACCCAGCCTTTCGATAACGCCCGATAAAAATCTAACCACATTTGGATCCGCAAGCGCCTTGTGATTCGACTCAAAAAACGAAAGATTCCGAAAAATCGTAGTAATGCAAATAAGTTTATCAGCCGACTTTTCCAGTTCATGCTCCAAGGACCCGAACCGCGCGACATCAATAAGCCCCACAGTCTCCGCTTTACAAGCCCTCACGATATCCTCGTAAGCCGGAACAGCAATTGCTTCCGAGCTCTCCTCAGCATGTTCCCCTAAGATCTCAACCTGAGACTCAGCAACATCTACTAATGTCTCAATCAAATCTTCACAACTTTCCAATGCAAGAGACCATCTAGATTCCACAGATACGGTCGCCAGCGTGTCCAGGGCGAGTCGTACCTCAGCGGATATACCACACTTGAGCATCATCGTTAAAGCGTGAACATCTATCACCCCCAATTCCTGGAATGTCGGCGTCGTAGGCTTGTGAAACATAAAGTCATTTCCTATTTGGCTCAAAACAGAGACATTCAACCCTCCATGGGTATCCAATCCTCGAACTTTGGGCTTGAAATCGGATGGAATCTCTTTCAAGGCATTATTTTGTGGCTGTGAGAAAGGGATTGCATCAGGTAGAACACTAGGTTTCACGGGGATTTGAGGGGCAGACAAAGGATAATTTGGCGGAATGTGGCCTTGCGGTGGTGAATCCAAAGAAATGCGGTTCGGAGTACTAGGGAGTTGGCTGTATTGGGGAGGTTGTCTTGAAGGCTGTCTAGGCTGGGGAATAAACCCGTTGTGAAGATTTGACCTCGCGTGATTATTCGGCACGGGTGTTTGAGGTTGTTTGGGCATTCCTTGAGGCCTTGTATGCTGCATCTGTTGGGGATTTGGCATCGGTTTTGTTTGCTGTTGAGGATGCATTTGCTGCCTCATATCTGGCCCGGACTGCTGACCCCTTGCTATTGCCACTTTCTTCGGATCCCTCCGATCCCGCAGCCAGGCCTGCTCATAGGCAGATAAGTTCAACTTGAAAATTTGAACTAAATCGTCCGCGGCAGTGGGAAACGACTCGGGAGAAAAGCCGAGACTCATGGACACCGCGTGCCACTTATTCTCCATCGTGACCTTTTGTGAACCCCCCAACTTCAAAACGTTCGTATAAAGGTTTACCAGGCTTACTGCCCTCCCACCAATGTATGACTGACCCTGGATAGGTGTGCCGTTCTTGCTCATGAAATTGTATAGACTCTTCATGAAATGATTAGGGTCACTATGCGGCTGACTTGGATTTGACCCTGAGCCTTGAAGGGGTTGTTGCCCTTGGGGCCGTGGAATCTGACCCGGATTCATAGAATTTGGTCCCACATGAGGAGGCGTGCCTGTCGGGGATTGCTGAGGGCCAGAATTCTGCGACTGCTGTTGGTGCTGTTGCAGTTGCATAATTCTCTGTTGCTGTTGCTGTAGCTGCTGGTGTTGATTTTGACGAAGCTGATACATCATGTGCGCTTGTGCTGGGTTTTGCATCTGCTGGTTCGGGACAGGAGTAGGCGGGGCGGATGCAGCGGTGGAAGGCGGGGAGAACGCTTGGGTAAATGATTGGGAATATGGGGTTTGAGGGGGTGGCGCCAGGTTCATATTGCTGTTTTGGGGTGTGCTGACACGCGAGACTTGGTTTGGCGGTGGGGAGCCTTGGGGCATGAATGGTTGTTGTGGTGGTGCGGGTGAAAAGGGAGATGGAGATTGGGTTGCGACGCGTTTGGGTGGAGGTTGGTTGTAGGTTTGGTTCTGCATTACAGGGGAAGGGCTCGCATTAGCAGACCCTACATGCTGGAGATGCGAGTGAGACGAGTAGCCGACAGGGGTGTATTGTCGCTGCTGCGCGGCGCCCGCATTGCTTTGATAAATTTGATAGGCTAACTGAGGACCGGAAGCATGAGGCGTCTGCGATCGCGAAGTAGGGGGATTTGCGGTGGTTTGACGAGGAGACACAGTGATAGGGTCTTCGCGAGGTCTCGGTCGTTTTAATGGGACTACGGGATTAACATTATACGCTGACTGCTGGAATCCCGGAGAAGAGGTTCGCGGATTGCCATTCTGAATCTGAGCGCGCGGATGGGCCTGTTGCTGGAACTGATGGGGATCTATGGTCGACGGAGTTATCACAGCCGCACCAGGATCGAAAGGAGAGTGCATTGCCGTCACAGAAGAGGCTTCAGGGCCAGCGAACGTAGAGTTCTGAACAGCCGGGGCGTCTTGCAACCAACCAGGCGCAGAAGGCACTGACATCGACTTCTGCAAGAAACACGCGTTAGCCAAGACTAGTTTTCACACAAACAGTAGGACAGCCATCATCGCCATCACTGCGCGCGCCCTAGATCTATCTCGACGTGGGCCACGATTTGCTCAACAATACGCAGAGCAGCAGACATGGGGCACGCGGAACTTTGCAGAAAATGCTGCGGCGAAGAGAAGCAGATGGAAGAATGCATAAAAAAATGATGAATTTAGGTTCCAGCCAGCAACTCAGACGCGTGCACGCACAAATACGCAGTGAACAAAGAGCAGGAGATGGTGGCACAAGACAAGCGGAAAATGGGCAGTCGAGTAAATAGGGAACAAGAAGACAGGTTTAAAGAGAAGATTAGGGTACTGACCAAGAACAAACAGGTCCCGGCAAGTGCGTACGAACGAAGCTTGCTTAATAGCGGAGACGAGTGAGTGGTAGTGGTGTGTGTCAGATCGTCCAGATGTTGTCTCCGGCTTGCCAAACGGGTATGGGGGGGTTGGAATGAAAAATGGGTAATAATAAAAATGGAAAAATGAGGGTCAGGGGAATTGGAAAAAACTATAATCCGTAGTGAGTTGTTACTACAGCTACCACGGGTACAGCTACAAGTTACCACAGCTGTCTCTATGCCCAAGAAGGGGGGGAAAGCTTGAGTGAGGATCAAGAGGCTCAAAAGTTAGCCACACGGAACGGCTTGCACAGACGGAGGTAGGTAGCATGCTTGAGGCAACAACTGGGGGAGGGGGGGTTTGTATGGAGGGGGGGGGATGGAGGGGGAAGGAGAGAGTAAGGGAGGGGAGGGGGAGGTGAGTGTAGGGCAGCGAAGGGACGGATGGGTGGATGTGAAGCGTCGGATGCAAATACGTGGGGATGGGATGGGAAAAGGAATGGGATGATGGGATGGGGGGGAAGGGGGTTGGAAGGATCGGAGCTTGTGAGGAGTAGTGATTCGATGTGTATGTAGGTACGTAGGGACGGTATGGGGGGAAGGGGGATGGGACAAGCGCAGGAAAATAAAGTGCGTACCTATTTTGCTTTCGCGAGTGAAGAGAGTACGGTAGACAGAGAACCAAAAAATATCTCTGGTGGGAGGGCGCGCGAGGATGGAGAGTGTTGGAGGAGTGAGCGTGGCAAGGGCAGCACCCAGCCTACCGGCGGAAACAAACTCGATCAGGCGTGTGTGGAAAGGAAGGGGAGGGGGAATGAAAAAAAAAAAAAAAAAAAAAAAAAAGAATAAAATCCGGGTGATAAGAGGTCTCTTCCTTTTGCTCAAATTCCTCGCCCAAAAAAAGGGGGGGTAGATGGGGAACTGCAATAATAAAAAAAGGAAACGAGAAGAAAAAAAGAAAAAAAAGAGCTGATCGAAATGAACACCGTACCGGTATTATGCTCAAAATAATGGAATAGGCAAGTCACTGATGGTAAAAGGTATCAAAAATTTGGCGGCTCTGGATCCGCACTCGAAAATCTCACGATACAAGTCTTTTCCAAATTCGAAAAGAGCTGGATTCACTCCTCGACTGTTCGTCCTTGAGCCAAACGTTAAAAAGAAATCGGAAAGGGGCGGGTGTCAGGTTGAGCGACAGAGGGAAAAGCAACGTATCGCCCCGTAAGTTGCTAAAATAGGTCCTTTCATGACCAAGATTGACCCAAATCCTCAAAATGTAAAAGAATCCCTCAAAACACTCTAGATACCCCATGATTTTTGTCGTTCAGATTGAAGAAACCGAAATCAAAGAAAATTAGGCAAAGCAGATGCCTTTGAGCTAAAAATTAGGTGGGTCTGAGCAAATATTGATGTTGTGTATGTACTATGACCGGGGGCTGAGGTTTTGATGGCCGGCTACACATCCACCTTGGCTATCTCCCTTGACATCAGTCCTGCTGCATGTGCCTTGTAAGAGTTTTCCCCGGCCCTCTCTGCTGCTGCCAATCCATTTGAGTTGATCCACAGAATAGGGAGGGGGAGGGGGAGGGGGAGGGAAGAGGGAAGAGGGAAGGGAAAGAGGGGAAAAGGCCAGGGAAAGAAAAGGGAACACATCTATTCTTCTTATACTCCAGATCCCATCATACCGGTATTGGAGCCGTGAGCTGTCTCCATGATCATAGTGGAAATATCTGACGACTCGAATATCCCATTTTTGGCCGCCCCACAACCAAGCTAACCTCCGCTATGATACAACATCAAATCTCTCCCAAAATATCCGGTGAGGGTTGGGAGCATTACTCTCGAGGACGTGCTGATCATACTTGATGAGAGTTTGCTCAAGATTGGAAGGGGGAGGGGGGGAATTGGTCATTTAAGGTCCCCTTCTTGTCAGGACACGAAATGCAGTACCTTAGCGCATGGCATCGGACCATCAGCAATGCGAAATGACCACTCATTCACTGCGAGCACATTGCGTGAAGTGCCTTGTTTCTGTTCGCAATGCATGTAATGAAATTGGGGCTTGGTGAACAAAGACCCGTTGATCAAAAAAAAAAAAAAAAACCGAACATAGCCAAGGCCTTCAATGCCTTAGAACAGACTTGACGGGATCTGAGACCTGGTTGCTCCAATGGAATCGGTATTCCATGTGTGCAATGCCGGTACCAACTTCACGATCTGGAAATCCGCCTGGTATTACCTATTGGGCAGCTCCTCTGCATGGGGGTGTGAATGGTATTGAGGTTGTTGGTGAGTTTATTTGTGAAAACTCCATACAGGTGGTATCACTTGGGGAGCGGTGTCCTGTCACAGCTGGAGGTTTAGTCTAGTCTGGTTCGAATTTTGTAATCCACCGTACCGGTATTGAAAAGCGGAAATGTTTTAAATTTTTTCTTCTGGAACAAGGACACTTTGTGAAACTGCCTTTAAAGCTGTTTAGGTTGGAGGAGCGCTGTGCCGGTCGGTACCTGCTTCAGCGCCCCACGATGAATGCAGCAAGGTATTTCGCGGAACACTAAGAGGCAGCTCCTAGGAGGCCCAATCCTCGAGCCAAAGTAATGTAGTCTACTGCACTCGTACTGTACTAGTACCGGCGGCAACTCGTACTTTACAAGTACTAACACTATCGTACAACTAGCACAAGTCCCACAACGGCCCCCCACACCATCCAGAGGCAGGGTTGGCAAAGAATACCATTACCTAGAAAAACGAGATTAATCCATTTACGAGTACTGGAAAGTGGACTTGTAGCCTATTTATGATACCGTATTCACCCTATCTGGATCTGCCTGGGCTTATTAGGAAATGTCAATGGAGGAGGGGGGTCGGCACCCGGGCAGCACTGTACTGTACGTAGATCACTACTCGTACATTTTACTCTACGGTACCGGTAGTGGTTCCTTATCCGCATGTACGGTGCTGGAACTGTATTCACTTTTGTGCTCTGTGGGCTTAGTCCAAATATGACCTTTTTCTCTTCTCTTCTCTTCTCTTATCATCTGCCTGGTGCCTCATGTGGATTGGGGGCATACATTTCTGGGTTTTGGCGCCGACGGTACTGTACTCGATAATACGGTTGGCCATACCGGTATTGGGAGCCCCCAATCCAAAAGGGTTTCGAAGCTAGGGATCAGTCACTTTCAATCAGAGGAAATGACCATACTAGCTTTACTTGAATACGATAATGAGAAGGCGTTTTGGAGGTGATTCAATTATCCTGCCTCTTTGGCAGATCGTATGCAAAACGGTCAGGGCTTCTGCTATGATACGAGTAAATTTTCCCCGTCTCCGGAAGTGCGGTACCTATTCTACGCCGGTGGGTGACTTATGGCGTACCAGCAACGGGGCAGTCTGTTTGGACGGATTGTGCTGGACGGTGGATTCCTTGGTGCTTCAGATAACCATGTGGGGTATGATATGTTATCCTACATGTCATACCTGCCGGAACAGCGCCAAGACTGACTCGCACTGTGAAGTCCCATGGTTACCCGGATGTGAACGTCAGCAACCTCCACACTTTAGAGCTTTCACCCTCCGGCTACCCTTTCTTTCCTTCAACAGTCTGTGCTTACATCCATCTTTCCTTACATCTTCATATACCCAGGATGGCTTCTCAAACCCCAGCCGTTGTCATGGACAAGTAAGAATCTCCTGTCTAGAAGACTCGAGCTTGGTTTCATAGGCTGTCTTGGTTGTATCCCATTGCTGACCAGACTATCTACAGCGGCACGGGCTATTCCAAATTAGGTGAGCATCTCGGTCTTCACCGTTCATCTTGCCATCTCGGTATGCTAAAAGCTTGTTTTATAGGGTTTGCCGGAAACGATTCACCATCATTTGTGTTTCCTACGGCCATAGCTATCAAGGGATCCTCCGGCGGAGGTGGTGGTTCAGGCTCCGGGCGTCCGGCAATAGCTCAGAAACCCTCTTACCTGACCGGAGGGGCTGGTCCATCTGGCCACTTGAGTGCCAAAAGGGGCACTGAGGACCTGGATTACTTTATTGGGGATGAAGCATTGGCACAAGCGAGTGGTCCAGGTACGGGTCGCTGTTCTTTCGGCAGTAGTTGCGGGCCGTGTTCTAGGGCCAAAATTCTGGGTTTCGGGAGGGGAAATGGTTGACGACTGGTAATAGGCTATGGCATTCATTATCCGATAAGGCATGGCCAAGTTGACAATTGGGTATGATATCTTGCTGTAGTAAAACAAGAGGTGATTGGGAATTCTAATGGTTCCCACAGGACCATATGGAGCGCTTTTGGCAGAATTCGATTTTCAAATATCTTCGAGTTGAGCCGGAAGACCACTATTTCCTTCTAACCGAACCTGTGATTATCACCCTAGAGTGTTCTGTTTGAGCTGTGAACTGACCCAGGCCTTGAAAGCCTCTAAATCCTCCAGAATCCCGTGAAAACACCGCCGAGATCATGTTCGAGACCTTCAATTGCGCCGGATTATATATTGCCGTGCAAGCGGTACTGGCATTGGCTGCAAGTTGGACAAGTAGCAAGGTTCAGGACCGGAGCTTGACTGGTACTGTTGTTGACTCAGGAGATGGTGTTACACACGTTATTCCAGTTGCTGAAGGTTACGTCATTGGATCATCGATCAAGTCCATCCCTATCGCCGGGCGCGACATCACATTCTTTGTTCAGTCGCTCCTTCGTGACCGAAACGAGCCTGACTCCTCTTTGAAGACCGCTGAGCAAATTAAGGAGGAATTCTGTTACGTCTGTCCAGATATTGTGAAGGAGTTCACAAGATTTGACCGAGAGCCAGAGAGGTTTCAAAAATATGTTGCTGAGCAGCTTGGGGGTCGAAAAGTTACTGTAGATGTGGGGTATGAGAGGTTCTTGGCTCCCGAGATATTTTTCAATCCAGAGATTTACTCAAGCGATTTCTTGACCCCTTTACCAACTGTGGTGGATACTGTTATCCAAAGCTCCCCTATTGACGTTCGAAGAGGTCTCTACAAGGTATGAAAACGGATGATTATATTGGACTCGGGACTAACAACTCTTACTCAATAGAACATTGTTCTTTCTGGCGGTTCTACACTCTATAAGGATTTTGGTCGACGTCTGCAGCGTGACATCCGCCATCTTGTCGACGCTCGTATTCGCAAGTCGGAAGAGAAATCAGGTGGTGTTAAGTCTGGTGGACTGGAAGTCCAAGTTATTACTCACAAGAGGCAAAGACATGGGCCATGGTTCGGAGGAAGTTTGTTGGGTCAAACACCGGAATTTAGGAGCTACTGCCACACTAAAGCTGAGTACGATGAGATTGGACCAAGCATCGTAAGAAGGTTTGCGCTGTTGGGTGGGCCTGGGCAGTGATATTTGTCATGTCGTCTTTGGGTGTGTTTGGGCGTGAGCCTTTTGGAGCTGGGTTTGGGATGGGGGTGCGGCCACTATCGCAGGATAGACAAAATAAAAGCTGTTGATCTTTTTTTTTTTGCTAGTCCAAAGAACGACTTGTGTTGGGATGTTGACGCTATCATTCTTTTTTTTTTCCGGAGGTGTAACTTAAATGCATAGGACAATACCCAATTCAATTTATTCTTTAGATCAGCCATTAATTTCCGGCATACAATTTTAGGCTGCGTCCACATGTTAATTCATTTCATGGGATATCATACTCTGTGTTTTGTAAGACCATTAGATGTGTTATGATACACTAATGATACAACAGAAGATATAGTGAGCCAAGAATTATTATTTTTTAACAGGGTACATACCCGTATCATGCCGCACAGGGCTATGGCCGCAATGATAATATCAGACCTAACAATGATTTCCGGGGGAATTGGCTATTGTCATAGATAGCGAATAGCCCACCCAACACCCTCGGGCCCCCCAAACCCGAAGAAAGGGGAATGTCTCAAAGAATCACCGCCCACGACCCGGCTTCTTACTCGGATGATGGTACATTTTCGCGTAAGCCTCCTCAAACACCAGCTTCTTAGGGACCAGGTCGCACGGATCGATCATGAGCCTCCGGACGACCTTGAAAGAGCCTGTGCCGATGCTCATAGACTGGCCAAGGATAATGCACTCGGACACGCCCTCGACGGCGTCACTCTTCATGTGGAAGGCGGCCTCGAAGAGGTGGTCGGTGGTCTTCTCGAACGAGGCAAGCTGTAGGACGCTGTCGCGCATCTTGGCTAGTCCGAATCGCGTGATCCCTAGAACCTCGCCTTTGTATGTCATTACGTCGCCGAGAAGTTGCATGTGGCGAGGGTCGATGTCCATGCCGTGCTCACGCATGGTGTAGGATATTTCGTCTATGATTGAGCCTCTATTCATCCATCATCATTAGTTGTGCTGTTTGGAGATTGATTAGTGGAGGGGGGGGGAGAGTCAAATACCTTGCAGCCTCAATTCCCAAAACCTCCCTCATCTCCATGATGCTGTTCGACTTCGTCTTCGTGCCCACCACGCCATCCGTGTTCATGCAGAGCTTGAGCCCGTAGCCCTCCACCAAGATCTGGTTCTTCCCCGTCTTGTCATCCTTCTTGACCACTGCCCTCGCTGCGTTCGGGTACCCCTTCACCACCACGCGCGGCAGCGCACGTTTCAGGTTCTGCACGCGCAGGAAGACGTCCGACTCGTCCTTTGTGCGTTTCCGGTCCTTCTCCGCCATCTCGTGCACATAGATCCTTATCCTGTTGCCGATTACACGGATGTCTTGGCGGATGATTTTCAGCTTGGCTTTTACAAGGGCAGTTACGATATCGTCGATTGTTAGTTCTAGTTGGAGCTTGCTGATGGTTTCTTGGTCCAGGCGAATGCTGATGTAGTTGTCGTCTCGGGAGCAGACGTCCTCTATGTAGGATATTATCTGTGTTGCGTTGAGTTAGTTGGTGGACCGAGTGATTTTGTATGGGTCAGGGGGAGGAGGGAAACTTACATCTTCCAAATAAGTCTTTTCAATCCTACCCTTGACAATTCTTGCGGCTCGCTCGTCGTCCTCTGTCACTAGCGTGCAGGTGATGATAGGCGTGCTGATGGCCTTCGAAGCGTTGATGATTTCTTTGATACGCGGAACTCCGAGAGTAACGTTCATGGAGGCGACACCAGCGAAATGGAAAGTCTTCAGGGTCATCTGGGTTCCTGGTTCACCGATGGACTGAGCGCCAACGGCACCTACTGCTGACCCGGGTTCTACTTTGGCCTTCTCGTACTTCGACAGGCACTGCCGGAGAAATTCCCGGAGGTGTTTTTCTGAGATTTTCATGATGCGGTTTACGGCGTTTACGTCGTGGGCTTTGGTAGCGTTAGTGCAGCTTTTCTTGGGGGGTGGCGGAGGAGAGATGTATACCTAAGAAGAAGGAGTCGTCCACGTCCATGTAATCTGCGTCTGGGGGTTCCTCGTGTGATGGTAAGTTGTATCTTAGCCGTAATGCGCTAAGTTTGCGTGCCTTTTCGACCATGTAATCTCGGATGGAGTTGTAGAACCTCCGCTTGCTCTCGTGCTCGTCAAGGGCTCTGTCTGTTAGGTCTTTGTCTGGGATTGCATTTCCGAGTAGATCTATTCTGGGCAGTTTCTGCTGAAATGGGTCCAAAACTTTATCGCAGAGTGATACCACCTCGTATGGGAGAAGACCCTTGTCGGCGTTGCTGAAAGTGATATTCTTTGAACCCAGTTGGTGAGATACAGCAGGGAACGCAGTGGGGAAAACGGCGAACTTACCTCGCAGTGGTAAAAGGTTCTGTTGAAGTTAACTGGCTGTGCGTTTCCCTCCATAGCGACAGGATCCAAATTGTCGCCCCCATACTGGAACTGAACGACGCCAGATGACGATGTTCGGACAGTGTAATCGTAAGAGGCGGACAAGTCCTCCAAGGATTTCATTAGGCGGCGCGACATATACCCAGTCTCGGCGGTCTTGACTGCAGTATCAACTAGTCCTTCACGACCAGATATAGCGTGGAAGAGAAATTCTGTGGGGCTTAACCCGGAGTAGAAGCTGTTTCTGACGAAACCTTTTGACGGGGGTTGCTTTGCTAATCGAGGAATGTCAGCAAGAGCGTGGAGTTAATAAATTCAGAATTGCCTACAATTCTTAGGGAAATGAGGAAGTGAACGATCTTGAAACCCATCCGGGACACGCTTTCCACTGATGACTTGCTGCCCAACACAAGCAACCATTTGTGAGACGTTAATCTTGGAACCTATTCAGCGCAAACCCGTCAGTCGTTGTAATCCTCACATTATATATATATATTTGCTCTCACCTTTCGACCCAGAGTTCGCCATAATTAACGGGGAGTTATTCTTGCTCAACTCTCTCATACAAATATCTCCCACCTTGTCACGGACGTTGCTCAGAATACCCTGTACTTTATTTTCTAGTGTGACTTCCTCGTCACAGCCTGCCTGCTTCTCTAATTTCCCTTCCTTGAATTCCAAGATTAGTGCGTCGCACTCATTATAAGCTTGTTCTACCAGCTTGTCCTTCTCTCCCCTTAGATTAGCACCGGGAAGAACGTCGTTTATGCCGATTGAGAAGCCTTGATTTGCCAACCATCTTGCGCATAGTTTCGCAAGTCGGTTCATGGCTTGGACAGCCTCATCTGGTCCGTAATCTCTTAGTATTACGTAGAACACTGAGTCCTTTTTCCCTGAACCGACAGTTGATTTATCCATGAGTCCGCACATGATTTCCGATCCACGGATGACCAGCCAACCATCATTGGGACACATATCTGGGGCTTTTGCGGGAACGGCCTTGAAGTCACGACACTTTGCATCGAGGTTGACTAGAACTTTGCTCTTTTTGTTGGGCCGCATAAGGACGTTAAATATCTGTTTTCCAGTCCAGAGTCTCTGGGGTTTTAAAATGGCGGGTAGGGGTAAGTCAATTTGCATATTCCCGTCAACCATATACATACAAATATTGGCAAAGGCCTTCCTGTTGTAGAACCTATCCTTACTGCTGAGGAGGTATGATGCTGTGATGAAATCCTGGATAGCTGCAATAATAGGTTCGCCGTTTCTAGGCGTGCAAAGGTTGTTCTTGACGCCCATTAATTCGATTGCTTCGGTTCGCGCTTCTTCGGTCTGGGGCACGTGGAGATTCATTTCGTCTCCGTCGAAATCCGCATTGTACGGATTACAAACACATTCGTTGAGTCGGAAGGTCCTCCATGGTCGAATTTTGGCCTACGATACAATAGGTCAGTCGTGGGAAATGATTTATGCCGTGGGGGGCAACACACGTAATGACTGAGAATACTCAATTTATGTAGGGAAGGCTGCCGATTGAATAATACAACATCTCCATCCTCTAGATGCCTCTCGACAATATCACCTTCAACTAATGCATCTGCAGCACGCCGTCTGTCTCCGAATTTTAGCCACAGCTTGAAGTCGCTACCATTCTTGATGATATAATTAGCGCCCGGCCACGTATCTGGCCCATTCTGCACTAGTTGCTGTAGCTTGTGAATATTGTATCGGGAAACCCTCTCCGGATACGTCAAGTTCTTGGCCACCAATGTCGGCACAGCGACTTGGTCGATACTCAAGTTTGGATCCGGTGAAATAACAGTTCTCCCAGAAAAGTCTACACGCTTTCCTGAAAGATTACCGCGGAATCGGCCTTGTTTGCCCTTCAATCTTTGGCAGAACCCACGAATCGGTTTAAGATCGCTATAATTTCGCTGAAGGCTTGGAAGGCTGCTGTCTATATACATGGCGATCTGGGCCTGCATGTAATCCCATCGTTCCTACGACAGTCAACAACAGAGTCAATCCTCTTAGGGCGGGGTACTTACCATTAGTATGTGGATAGCCTCCCCACTTTGAAGTGCCGTTCGAATTAGTGAGTTCACAAAGATAATCTCAGTGAGCTTAACAGTGAGATCATCTTCGTTGCTCGCTGAATCTTGTTGGACGGAAGGACGAATGCATATGGGTGGCGCAGGAATATATTGCCATAGGAACATCTCTGGCCGACCTTCCTGCGGGTTCATGCCTAATAGTTCGCAATCGATGGGTAATATTTGCTTAAACATGTTGAGTACTTTGAGTGGATTAAGATCGTCCATTGCCTTCTTGAGGTGCTTATCGAGATCGTGATTTGTCTTTTTTGCCTCTTCAAATGACTGCTCAAAGGCTATTTTCGATTCGGGTGGCACCTTTTTGGCCGCGGTGGAAGTGTTGAAGACTCGAAATTTATCATGAACAATCTTGAGAGGCCCCACTTTTTTGACAACACCATTGAGAGCACCACAATGGTAGCAGATCTTAGCTTTTTTGCACTGCTCATTAATCTTCTTGCAGATGTTCATTCGGCGCAAATTATCTATACCCGGTGTGCGCAACCGCTCCAAGAAGGTCCTCGCTTGATTACCATCGAGCAGAATCCGAGAACACTCTTTGCATATATTCTGAAGAATAGTTATTGTGGCCTTGAAGTATCCAATATGAAAAGCCGGTAAGGCCAGCTTGACATGCCCAAAATGACCGTTGCAGTTCGTAAGACCTTCGCCGCAAGTCTCGCAAACCCCAGACTTCAAGGACGTCCCCTGGGTTGCGAATTATGGCAGTTAGTCACCCATCACGCCTGTCACGAATGTGACCGCCCTGGCAACTTCATAGCTCACCATTCTGGGATCCAGCGCACCATTCTGCCTCGGCTTTCTCCCACCACCTTCCAGATCGAACAACTCTCTCTTGGCGACCTCTATGACACCTTGCTTTACTACATCTTGTGGCGACCTGGCAGAACCTCAAAGTCAGAAGGCAGCATCCTAGAGACTCTACTGCGCCGGGAAAGAACTCACATAATCCCGAACTTCACCTCCTTTATCCTCTTCGGCAGGTTATCCACCACCTGCTCCTTCATTCCCTCCCTCGTTGCGGTAGACAGCATTGCGTGCGAAGGTTGCGTATTGGCTGCTGGCGGCGCTCGAGAAACTTTGACAAAAATGGATTGAAGAACTGCCTAATGTTAATACAATTAATTGTAAATCAAGGGGAAATACTGGGTAGTCTTAGTAACTTAAGAAATTTGATCTGCTGCCGAAGAAACATGGGCCTTAGGACCTACGAGAGAGAACAAAGCATGAAGGGGTGGGAGGTAAGTGGGGAGTCTGTAGGGATTATTTGAAGGGTTTTGTCAATTGCGAGAAAGGTTGCTCTAGACTTTAGATATTGAAACCCTGGCCTCACGAACGCATGACCGGGTAACTACGGTAATGCAAACCCAACCCCTATACTAACATGTCTTTTCACTCGACTGATCAAAGAATGATGCTCCAAATTGCCTTGAAATGGTACCGGTAGTTTGAGGCCGTAAAGAGACTCCTGGGGCTAGTTTTAAGCTCCCTGCCAGACGTTCCATATGCACTCCGGAGTCGTATAATTTCTTGCATGAGGCTGACAAGAGATAATTTTCAACCGGGCTGTAGGACCTCGTGAAATCCACAAAGGCAGTCTTCTTTGCCTGTATCCCCTCAACTTACTAAGGGTCTGTTCGGCAAAAATGGAAGAAGTAGCTAACGTCTGCTCCGGTGTTGCGAGATTCTCGAGTTGCGAGAGTGGCTGCTAAAAAGTGACGGTGTGCGTCATCCCAAGACCACACTTAACCTATAACAGAATTAATGACTTCATGACAAGAGACTAGAGTAGATGGTGGTGTAGGGTCTAAGCACCATAGTATCATAGTAGATACAAGTATAAAATATTCCAATGCTCTCATTCTGAATAAACATATTTTAAAAGAAAAACGAAAAAACCAAGTTCCTTCCTATGATATTTTAATGAACATCCTACAATATGGTATCTGGAGCTCCTTCCAAGCCTTTGAGGCTACGTGAAATCCTTAGTTTTGATGAAAAAAACATAGGGCAAAGATATGGATGGAGTAAGGACTACGTGAGGAGTATACTCCAAACTGGAGGATGATTGCTGAGGCTTGTAGCATTGTATATTTAACCTTATACCATGCTATGAGGGGGCATGGCAGTAGGCAAGAAGGGATAGAAAAAACATGTAAGTTAATAGCAGGTAAAGAAAAGGCTGTTTTAGATAGATGCAGTTTATTAAGTTCATGGTTACAGCCAGCTTAATTTAGTATAGTAGAAGATATGGTACTTGGTTTGCTATGATTATGGAAAATAGAAAGAACTGGAGGAAAGTATAGGGTTTATAATTTTATTAAATGTCACAATCAACTAACTAGTACTTTCAGTAAGCAGATTGAGAATTGTCATGCCATTTAGGTAAACAGTCCTACTATTATCAATATGTAGTTTGATTATATAAGTTATAATATCAATACATTATTAATATAATTATTCAGAATTTTAAATTAATCATAAAATATTTATATAGTAAATAGAACTTTTGAATTGTCATAATATTTTACTAGAAAACCTGTACAATTTCGATGAAATTGTTTTCTTCATAGAATCGACCCATTTAGAAAAAGTCATGGTTGATATTAGAGAGCTGTGTCTAACTCGAGCATTATGATCTTTTAGTACGTAAATAATTGTTTAATAATAATAAGAGCCTGTCTCAGTAGAAAACCCACTCTCGGGCAAAGTTGTTGTTAGCAGAAAAGTACATGGCAATCAGAGTGACCCGTAAAAAGTATTTCGAGAGAGCATTAGTTTTATAATAACATAAACTTTAAACTACTACTATACACTTAAAAAAATTCAATAATTTATTTGAATACTGTACAATTTAGTTTGACACTTCCACTACAATTCTATGAACTTAAACCTTTTAAAATCAACTAAACTACATACTTTTCCTTGCCTTTTTGTTTTTAGACTCAGGTGGTCGGCCTCTTCTCTTTGGAATATTAGTTGAGCTCTCACCTTCTATACTTGAAACAGCTGCTTTATCATTGTACTTATCTCCTATGTCTTCTATGGTTCTGGTAGTTGGCCCTGAGTGGGATGTAGTTACATTACCTGATTGCTTGATTCTTCCAACTTTGACTAACTGAGCTTGTTAAATAATATCATGTGAGGGCTTGGTATATAGCCATGTAGATTGAATATGCTCTAGAGCATAAGAGCTGTACTTACTCCATATATCAAACCGCTTCTTAGGCTTCAATCCAATTGACTCCAGCTCTCTTGGTGCCAGAGTACTCATTTGTTGCAATGTTATCCCTGACTTAGTAAGATCAAATCGCTTCCACTCATCTAGTGGAAGATTCTTTGCAAATACGGTACCTGGGAATTCCTTAAGAAAAAGGAAGTTATAAAAGCCTTGAATTCCTTTTAGTAGCTTGAAGAGTAAATTAAGTGATTCTTCCCAATCAAAGAATACCCCATGATCTGCTCCATCATCAAAGAGATTAACTGATTTAATCATATCATTGGAGGTAGAACTTGCCACAGCTGCACTATAGTCCCATGGAGTCCAGATATTCTTTCTAGAAGCATTGTACTTAGCTGTTCCAAATCCACGATGTACTGAGTTTCTAGTGTGACCTTTAACTTGAAAGCAGAGTTCTATACTGTCTATCTACTCCTGTTAGACTAACCAGCAGAGATATGCTGTCATTGTCTTGTTTTTATTTTGGCCTTAACAATTATCTGCCCAAAGATATATATGGAGCTTCATCTTACCTCCAGATGTCAAGTAATAGTGAAGGAGAGATACTACTTGATTTGGGCCTTTTGGTTGCTGTGCCTCAGTATATAGTAGATGGTGATGCTGATTATATTTCTTATTCTCATCGACAATTCCAAATGAATACAACTTAAAATGTGAAAAGAAGTACCATTAACCAGGCTGTTGAGGGAGCTTTGGTATCTCAACTAGCTGCTGGAAGTCAAATGAATAGCAAGCTGTATCCTTTGGATAGCATGTCGCTTGTAAGATAGTGGCCTCATAAAAGTCTCTACACTCTCGATATTCCTTACGATGCTGATCAAGTTTCTTTTAAGTTTGTATTAGCTTCTCATCATGTGCAATCTCACCTTGCATTCTGTTAGTTCCCTTAGGAGAGTGGAGCTTTCCTTTTAGAATTATACAATGATCACAAATGTCGTTAGCAGGGGTTCAGATATGCATCTTCTTGAATCTTTTACTTCTCTTCCAATATTGGTCAA